ATTCAATCATATATCTATTTTTACTGAATTAATTTTTAGATCTATTAAAGACGAGTTAATTTTATTAGTTAAATATAATTTTTATTGTCCATGAAATTGTTGTTGTTTTTGTTTTGTTTAAAAAAAATGGTGTTTAAACGCGTTTAAAGGACAAAATAATAATAATAATAATAATAATAGAAACGTGTTTAATTGATGATTGAAAACCTGTTTTTTTATTTTTTTAGCTATTTAAACGACATACGACATCTCTTTCATCTTCTATGTATTTCTTATTTCTCAATAGAGAAAAGGACATAAATTTTTAAAATAGTGTGAATTAATCGTTTATTTATGCAAATAATTCTAATAAAACATTCAATTTATTTAAATTCTAGATTTATCATTGATCTTAAAATTTATATAGAAATATTATATTTTGTACATTGTGTGTCATCAAACAAATTTTATGTAGTAAAAAAAACAAAAATGAAGTGTTAATTAAATTTTTAGACTACATCAGTTGCATATTTCATCTATTTTTTCTCTAATATATATTTATATATATTTTATATGATCATTTTTACTGTTTTAAACAAATAGAGAAAAAATATCGATAGAAATTAAATACTTGTTATAGAGTAGAATAAATACATTTTTTAAATCTAACTTAACAAATAAATAAAAGTTAAAAAATAAATTCAAATTATCTAAAATTTGTCACAGATCACATCTATTAAAATTTTAATTCATTTGAGATTAATTTATGTCATTCACGATCGAATACGTGCATGTATCAATTTAAACTACGACACATGTCTTTAATAAAGAAATATGTTGTTTTTTTTTGATGATATATTCGTTTTCTTTAAAAGTTTTGGTTGAATGAATTATTATTGGTATGCGTGTATTCTACATTGAAAAAAAAAAGAAAATGGTGGAATATAATTGCAAATATAATCAGTCTCTATTATTCTTGTTATAAAATTGCTTTCGCTTATTAAATGATTATTATTTTTCTTAATCTGACATTGAGATTGTAAATTTTTCTTTCTTTTCTCTCTCTCTCTCTCTCTCTCTCTCTCTTTCTCTCTATTGTTGAAAAACATGAGGTGCCATTTTTCTAATTCATTGAGAAGAAAAAAAGGAAAAGTATTTATCTAAATATATGTATATAGTTTACCTAATAAAGCATACCAAAAATGAATCTTTTACTCAAACGTTTTTAAAAAGGATATTATTATAACTATTTTCTGAATAGAATAAGAACACATTAGACAATGAAAAGAGCACCAAGAACAAATTTATACTAAAAACATATTTTTCATATATATATACATCTTTTTTTTTTTTGTAATCAACAATAATATATAGACATTCAATGTACATTAGCAATATCTCATAAAATTTAAGATATTTCTTATATTCGGAAGTTTATATTACAATATCAAAAGTCCAATGATTATATATATATATATATATTTAAATTTATTCATATGCCTCATAGTTATTTTTTTTCTCTTTCATTTTAGGTGTGTAATATACTATGAACAACTACGATTATCATACATAATTAGTAATTGATTATTATTAATTAAACGTATAATTATTATGAGCATTAGCTCATTAAAAATTCTTAATTTATCAATAATTTTATCTTGTCAATTTGATAAACAGCAGTATACTAAAGTAACAGGTAAGTGAATGAATAGTTAATTTTATTTTTTATTATAACAAAAAAAAAAAAATTTAAAAAATTCATCTGTAGATGTAATATAAAAAAATTTGAATATTGAAAAATTGTTAAATCATTAGTATTTTATATTGCCTGGATAGATTTTTAAAGAATGTCTCGGTAGGTTAAATGAACAAGGACAATTAAACAATAAAAAAAGAAAAAATTGATAATTTGTTGTTGAAAAACAATTAAATGAAGAAGTTAAACTGACTTCCGTTCTCATCTACTTGAGAATTATGAGATTCTATATTTCACGTGAATAAAATTTATAACTTCCGTCCTAAGTAGCATGTCGTCCATATATTTTATGAAGGTTTTCTTTTATTTATTTTTTTTTAAGTCCTTCTTTTTTTCTTTTTTTTTTTTTTTTTTTTTTTTTTTTTTCGTTTAAAATTGCATGTGGCGTTGGGTTTGTTGTTGGGACCTGTTTGAATGTTTTTAAGGGAGAAGGATAAGTTTTTTTGTNCAAATGTTTTTTATATATTTTTTTTATTTTTTTTTTTTTTTTTTTTTTTTTTTTTTTTTTTTTTCTTTTTTTTTTATTTATTTTTTTTTTTTTTTTTTTTTTATTCCTTTTTTTTTTTTTTTTTTTTTTTTTTTTTTTAATTTAGATTACGTATACAAGTCCATGTGCCGTTGTCTATCTTCTTGCGACAGATTTCAATGTGATTAAGCTACATCTATCATCTATTACTATCTGTCTACATCTTATGCCATTGACAAATTTAAAAAAGAATAGCACAAACCATCATTGTGAGCATAGACAAGAGCAAAAATTTCTTCTTTTTTTATATGACATAAAAAACAGCTGCCACATAAAAATGGATTCTTAAACGAAACATCAGTTATTATTATTTTTCTATGAAGATGATGAATTTGTGTCTGTCATCAAGATAAATAATATCATCACCATCACAATACACACATATACACACATACATATATCAACAAGAAAAGGGAGAGAGAGAGCGTATGTGTACATGTGTTTGCGTTATTTTTTATCCGATCTGTTTTTGAAAGTTTGGAAGGCTCGTTATATCATTAAAGAATAATTCTATCGTTGTATCAATCTATTATGTCGGTTATACTGGCTCTTGCTAAGATACCGAATAAATAGCTGTATGTATTAGGATACTAGGAACAGATTTCATAGAAAAAAAAATTATTTCTTCTCAATATTAAATGCATTTTTACTAATTTCTGTTATTGAAATTAAATTCTAGGTAAATAAAATATTCGTATGTGAAAATTTAATTATTGTTTATCGTTAAAAATAGTAGAATATTTTATTCTCTTCTAAGAAAGAAATTTTAAAATAGGAGACAATAGTTGAGTTAATTTAATTTTTTTTTGATTTTTCTTCAAAGTCATCGTACATCAGGGAGTAATATCATCTATTTGTTAAGTGATAGAGTCACTTTAATATGAGTAACCATTTTTCTAACGTATTTACTGCTAAAATTATAATAAAACAATTCAATTTAAGTTAAAAAGTGTATAAAAAGTTCATAAATGTCTTTAATTTGAAGAGAAATTTCTTCTCTTCAATATTCATAATTCAAAATAGAATTTAAGACGAAGAATTTGATGTAACTGTTATCATATAGAGTACGTAGATACTACTTGAGACTATCCATATCACTTCTCAAATTTTTTTTTTGTCATGTTGAAGGAGAAAAAGCGGAAATAAAACAAGACATTTTAAGCGTTTTTATTTCCCAATGTATAACGTTGTCTTTAGCAGCAATAGATAAATTAGTTATTAGTTTTCTAAATGATATAATGATCATAATGACAGGACGTTTGAAGAAATGGATTAATGTTTTTATTGAATCTTAATAGGAAAAAATGAAGAGATATGTTATTATTATAAACTATATATTCCATCATATAGCTAGGTGACACTTTTCTAAAAACAATTTGTCATTTTCTTGTCCTCTTTAAATCGAATTAAGTCAGTGTGTCACTAGATTAATTATAGAAAAAAGTATTTCTAATTTTGACTATCTATTGTATTTTTTGTTATCCAATATGTTATACTTAATTGTACGATATGAAAGTTTATCAACTATAAACATATCCTTTTGAATATATTTTAATAAATTTCTTCTATTCATTATTTTAATTTATTATAATGAAATATAACAAATAATTTTTTCCTATATCATCGTTCATATCGTAGGTAATATTCGTACATCAAAGGTATTTGGAGTTTTTTCGCTTTAGTGGCATGTTAACAGATTGTCAATATTTTGTAAATGAGAGTAATAAATGATCAAATATCGACCATTCTCTTTGAGTATTGATACGCCTATGGGCAGAATGACAATAAGTGTTTTTCTCTATTTATTGTCACATATTTTTTTTTTTTTTTTCGAGAATATTGTATTATTCTTTTCTTTTTTTCTATCGGCAACATCTGTACTTTTTTTCATGTAAGCAAGTACTTTAATTTTCTAATTTAGTTTTTGATAGGGAAAAAAAAGAAGAATTTATTCATCCAAATAATTCCAATTTACTTCATTACGGATAGGTAATTATCTATCAATTATAGTTGAATAAGAGTGAATTAACCTTATTTTTAAACTGTGATAAACTGATGTTCGAATAATAGAGATAATTCATTCACTATAAATTCAATATAATTATTTTGTTTTTGTTTTTTTTATTCTATGTTTCATGAATTTAGTAAATAAAAGAACTCATCGCTTTCTTTGTATGAGTTCTATGTAATAGACACACTTGTCATATATAGCATTCTTTTCACTCTTCTTCTAAGACTCTGATTTTCGATAATAAAAAAAAGCAACGACAATTAAATATAACATATTGAAGACAGAGAGAGACGAATATGAAAGACGTTTTTTTGTGATAATGATATATTTTTTTTATGATTTCATAAATGGTAAAACTTTAGTATGAAGCAGAGATTGTTAATTAAATATTTTAACAGTATGTTTAAATTATCAAAAAAAAAAAATCCAAAAAACAAAGTTACGGTGTTTTTTCTAATTTATTTTTAAGACGGATTTTTGTGGTGGACAAACCATTGCCGATGTCAATGGCAGACTCGTTCATAATGATATGGCCTCTGCGTTTAAATCTATTCGATATCAAGCCTGCGATAATAACGATGATAGTAATAAAAATAATGAACTTATTTCAATATCAACAACAACTCATGGATCATCAAAATCATCATTACAATCGAAAAGTATTCATTCAAATACAAATCAAAAATTTAATAATAAAGTATCAAATTCTGAACTTTGTGAAATAACAGTTTTACCTATTACAACAATAAAACAATCACCAACTGAAACACCAGCATTATCCCATTGTCTACCATCATTATTTCCATCATTAAATAATAATAGTTCATCATTAACACATTTATTACCTACAACATCAGCATCAGAATCACCACCAACAAAAAATAATTTTATAACATCATCAATTGCTCAATTACCGATTACTGAACTTGAACATCAACCACAATATACATCACCACAAATTCATACGGAAACATCAGCCTATACTCGTACAGGTTCACGACAATCAATATTAGATACATTATCAAATAAATTTTCAGCCGTAAGAAAAAGTTCATCAACTGCATTTGCTTTGGCACAACAACGTCTTTCACAAGGAGAAAATATCAATCTTTTCTCACAATATCAAGGTAAATTTTAACAATAAATAAAAAAAAAAAAAAATGTTTTTTGTTTTTTTTTCGATTTATTAGGTGATTATATACGTCAGTCACGTCAATTACGTAAAGCACGTCGACAAGATATAAAAGCTCGATTTGAAAAATTTCAGGACGGTACACTGACTAAACGTGGTACAACATCATCTCGTCGGTTCACATTTATATTTGATCCAAGTGGTCGTTTAACATATTGGTGGACATCAATTGTTTCCATTGCATTTCTTTATAATTTTTGGGTAATTATCTATCGGTTTTCATTTCATGAATTAAATTATAATAATATTTTAATATGGTTCATATTCGATTATGTCTGTGATTTAATATATATATTTGATATTGCATTTAATTTTCGTACGGCTTATCTTGAAGAAGGTGTATTACAAACAGATCCAATTAAATTACGTCATTATTATATGAATACAACACGATTTTATATTGATTGTTTATGTTTAATGCCATTAGATTTTTTATATTTATCAATTGGATTTAAATCAATTGTTCGTCTATTTCGACTTGTTAAAATTTATCGTTTTTGGACATTTCTTGATCGTACAGAACGACATACGAATTATCCAAATTTATTTCGTACAATTGTTATGATTCATTATCTTTTAGCCATATTTCATTGGAATGCGTGTCTAATTTATATATTAAATACACGAAATAGAATGGGTTTAACAAAACGTTTTAATTTTACATTTAATGATATTGGTCTAGATTATTTTAAAGCACTCTATTGGAGTACATCAACATTAACATTAACAGATAATTATGAAACAAAGCCAACATCAAAAGAAGATTTTGTATTTATGAGTATTGAATTAGTATTTGCTTTACTTTTATTTGCCACAATTATGGGTCATGTAGCATCAATTGTGGCCAATTTGAGTAATGCAAGAAAAGATTTTCAAGGTATGATAGATTTTAAAAAAATATTTTAATGTATATTAACATTTTTATAATCGCCTATTTTTTCCACTTAATAAAATCATTAATTTATATGATTAATGAATAATTAAATTTAAAATATATACATATTAAACACGTTGAGAGTCACGTTAACTTATAATCAGTATAAACTCTTTAGATATAGGATTTCAAAGAATTTTTTTACAATTATTTCTTATATAAATATAAAAGATTTAATAGTAAATCACTTTACTATAACTTATAAAATATTTATTTTTATTCAGCTAAACTTGATGCTGTCAAAACATACATGTCTCTTCGTCGTCTACCAAATAATCTTGAAGATCGTGTCATTCGTTGGTTTGATTATTTATGGATGAGGTATACTGTCTTGTTCTATATTATAATTATCTATATCTATCTCATTATTTTAGTCATAAATCTGTTGATGATAATCATGTTTTATCCTTACTTCCATATAAATTACGTGCAGAAATTGCCATACACGTTCATTTAGATACATTAAAAAGAGTATGTTAAAACGATTTATTTATTACTAACTACATTATTTTATTTCTTTTTTTCTTTTCAGGTTGAAATATTTCAAAATACAGAAGCAGGTTTTCTTAATGAACTTGTTCTACGTTTGAAACCCGTTTTATTTTCACCCGGTGATTTTATATGTCGAAAAGGTATATAAAATATTTAAAAAAAAAAAATAATTTCTATATTATAATATTTAATTGTATGTTATTAGGAGAGGTTGGCAAAGAAATGTACATTGTTAATCGTGGAAAATTACATGTAATGGCAGATAATGGTAAAACAGTTTTGGCAACACTTAAAGCAGGTAAATATTTTATACATTGATTATTGATTTTATTAATAATATTTTTTGTCAATAATAGGTTCATATTTTGGTGAAATAAGTATATTGAATATGGGTACAAGTGGTAATAGGCGAACAGCATCTGTAAGATCCGTCGGCTATTCGGATCTATTCTGTTTATCTAAAGAAGATTTATGGGAAGTTCTTAAAGAATATCCGGCTGTACGAGTGAAATTAGAAGCAATTGCTGTTAAACGATTAGAAAAACATAAAAAACCTTTGATTCAACAAAGTAAGTGTACAATAATTATTATATAGAAAAATATATCTTATTTTTTATACCATAGGCTCTCTCTAATTGAAAGTGTGAAAAAAGGTAAGTTCTGAGCACACACACACTTACACATATACATTCACATACACACAATCACACCCTTGCCGCTCTGAATAGAAATGTACTTACTCATACATGTTACCTACCGTAAGAACTTTCGCAAACAAAAATAATTATATTAATTAAAATTTTTTACTTATCTCTCACATAATTTTCTATAACTACTATATATTACGACTTTGTATAACTATATTTCATATTTACGAGACTATCCTTGCTGTTCTCAATGGGTAATTGTTTAATTACCCATAATGGTAATGTTTAGATCCTATTTTCTAATAGAAATTTAGACTATTTTTATCATTATTGTATAAAGTACAGTCTTTTGACTTAAATATTTTGTTTCTTTTTTTTTATTTTAGTCAATATGAAACGAAGTAAAAGTACACCCGGTTTAGTCGAAGCATCAACTCGTCTTCCATTTATCGTGCCAATGAGACGTACAGGAAGTGGCGCAAATCGATTATCATCAATACGAGAAACAGATATCCATGCTGTTGGTTTAGCATTTCAAAATTCTTCATCGTCTCAATATCAACAACAGCCTACACAACAACGTGCACAAGCAACAATCGGTTATTCGTGTGCTGGTTTAAATTCTCTAGATAGAAATCAACCACAACAAAAGAATTTATCATCAAGCGTCAATTCTCTAGCAGCACCATTGGCATCTTCAATCAGTGTTACATCGTCACTGAATTCTCATTATATCGTACCAAATTCAACATCATTAAATCGTTCTTCTCTTCTTGATCAACAACAGCCACAGACAAAACAAAATCAAGTATCTCCAATTATGACAAATAATTTTTCATCATTACCACAAACTGCCATAGCAGGTATAAATCATTCAATGTCATGGTCAAATGGAACAAATTCTAGGCAATCTTTCACCGTATTTTCAAATTTAAATCGAACATGTTCATATCTGACTACAAATCGAAATCGTTCGAATAATAAACATCGTCTTGAAAGTATAATCGATAAAAACGATTCGTTATCAAATCCAACGCAAACTATATTAATTGAAGAAATTCAACATTTAAGACAACGTTTAATTCAATTAGAAGAAGATAATGCATCATTAAGTACAAATTTAAAACAAAAACATTGGGAACTAAAAAATCGTCTACGGATGTTAGAAAAAAATTTGGATTCAGAACAAAATAATAATCCAAAAAGTTTAATTTTTGGAGAATCATTTAGCACCGAAACAGACGATGGTTGCTCAGAATCTTTTCCAGGAATAAACAACGACGGCTCATTATAGCCTACATTCATCTGTGTTACTAATACACTGGAAATTTTTGTTGACCTGATAATTATGATGCAAGAAATTCCATTACAAAACAACAGAAAAAGTTTTGGGAACGAGGTTATTTTTCTTTTTGATATTTTTTTAAATATACCGAACAGACACATATGCAGCACTACTATCAAAGTTTCTATGGATGCGTCACTATAAATGTAATTATGTCAGATCGCAATTAAATGCGTCTTTCTCGTTTTTGTTTTGCATTTTCTTAACCAACGAAATCCATTTTATCTTTTAAGTAGTTTAAATATGGTCGCCTCAATCCTTTTCATGCACAAATTAGCAATATGCCTAGTTAACCTTCTTCATGAGAACATAAAACTATCTTCCATTTTTATTTTTATGATGTCTCTTTTCTCCAATTTTGTATATTACTCCTTCCTTCTGTTTTTGTAAACAAGATAGCATTCATATTTTCCTTTGTAATTTTAATAATCTATTGATAGTTGTTTTTGTTTCATGGTGAAGAATCTTATATATTTTTGAAATGTTTTTTGCGTGTAATTTTATTTTTATTATTTAAAATTAAAAAAGTACAGGGTTTTCATGTCAATAAATTCATAACAAAAGCCTAGTGAGACTCCCGATCAAGAACTAATCATACTGACTTGCAATACTGTCAAACGTAGTCAAATATTCTACTGTATAAACTATACTGCCAGGATTTCAAAGAAAACTACTAAAAAATCACAACATTAACATTTCTATTTTTGCTGTTTCAAAATATGAATGTTTCTAGTCAAGAATAAGGACATATCTCCAGCGCAAAAGCTACAAAATTTAAGTCTAATTACAACAATAAATTCCTATTACAGGGATTCCACAACACCTTTTGTAATACAAAACAAAGTCATAACAAAAGAAAAAGCAGTTTTAGAAAAGCGCACATGCACAAACAATCTCAATATGCGAACAAGCTCAAAAAAAAAGAAAAAAAAGTGAAGCAACAGACAAACAAAACAATTACCACATTTAAATACAAGCTAATTAACGCACAAACGACTTGTTAATTAGAGATTTGAATAAAGAAGAAAATTATTTGAATGTTTTGATTGATTATTACCTAAATTTACAATTAAATTTAAATCATTTGAAAACACCTGATCGAGATCGAAGCAAACTTGTTCGGAAAATAACTAAAATAGAAAAAGAATTCAGTATTCAACCAATCGATGAATCATAGACAGTTGAAAGAACGAATAAATCAGAAATGAGCCAGTTGTAAAATACGTTTTAACACCGTCAAATTCAATCTCATATAGCGAGCTCATAGAGCACAATGAATAGTTTACATTGACATCCAGTAACACTTTCTAATAGCAACTACCAGAATCTAAAAATTATTCAATACCAGCTAAATAAGATTTCAAAAATATCCAAAGACATGTGATATTAGTTTTAGAAGTTCAAATACTCTCTTATCTGACAGTACATATTTATGTGTTAGGCTTCTTCTGTGCACAGAAAATGAACACACTTTTCCAGTCCTGATAATAACTGTGGTTCTGAATAGCTGTACAACATCTAAGTTTGAAAAGTTAAATTTGTATGAAAGAATCATAATAATGATATTCTTCAGCAACGCTTCAAACTGTCTTAATTATTTTTTGAAAAAACTTATTGATTTAAAAGTACTAAAAACAGGATCAATAATAACGTTGATGATTTTCATCAAAATTAGATCAAAACACAAAAGCAAAAATATACTTTACAATCAACCTTGTGTCAGGTATGAAATTGTATTCTGTGGACACGCAGAGAAGAAATGTAATAGACGATTGATTTCGACTGTCCATTGGATTTTTTTTTTAATAATCAGTGACTGACTGGTCAATAATAAGTTTTTTCAAAAAATAATTAAGACAGTTTGAAGCGTTGCTGAAGAATATCATTATTATGATTCTTTCATACAAATTTAACTTTTCAAACTTAGATGTTGTACAGCTATTCAGAACCATGGTTATTATCAGGACTGGAAAAGTGTGTTCATTTTCTGTGCATAGAAGAAGCCTGACACATAAATATGTACTGTCAGATAAGAGAGTATTTGAACTTCTACAACTAATATCACATGTCTTTGAATGTTTGTGAAATCTCATTTAGCTGGTATTGAACAATTTTTAGATTCTGGTAGTTGCTATTAAAAAGTGCTAGTGGATGAATGTCAATGTAAACTATTCATTGCACTCTACGTAAAAACCTGAGCCAAATCAAGGTATTGTTTTCCATTTCGCATACGATGCACATATATACACTGTTGACTACTCTTGAATCCCTTGCAGTATCGCACTTTGGTGACTGAGAAAATGATTGAGTTAAGAACAATACATTGTACACGTATCGAATGTCTATCAGACATTGGTAACATTTTCCAAGAGAGAAAAAGAAAGTATTCTTTATCTGATAAGGTTCTATCATCTTAGGTTTGACATTTTATTATATCAACTCTTTTCTAAACGTTGAGTGAAGCAAAACTCACCACAGATCAATACAATCGTGAACATTGAGGACAACTTTGAACGAGATTTGAAACTCTAAACAAAACAAGCGATATTTTGCAGAGAAAAGGGCGATGTACTAGTACTCTACCTTGTGTTTGCTCTTATCGGGTTGGCAAATACATTGTTCTCGATATCTGTTCGTCGCGCACGAGGCACTTGAGATGTAACAAACGAATAGGGTAATTCAATCGGTGAAAATAAAGAAGATGTAGGAGATGATAATAACGATTGGGAGGGAAGAATGATTGGTTGCTGCTGCGTTTGTTGTTGGGGCATGCATGCATTATAAGTTATAGACGTAGGTGCTGTACCAATTGGAGAACAATATGACAATGCTGATGTTTCGTACAGTGTCGATGACAATGAACGATTATTTGAATAAACTTGAGGCAACGACGAAAGAAATGGTTGAAGATTTTCAATAGCTAAAAATGGTATGTCTATATTAGTCAACATCAATGTGTAAATTAAAAAGAAATGCTCTACTTACGGCGGAAAAGCCCTCTAGGAAGTGGTCGTGACGACGCCAACGCAACCTACACAAAATGGAAGCGATATAAGAGCAAGGTAAAGTAATACAATAACAAAAAAACGCACCGTAATTTTTCGCCCATCTGCTATTGTGCCATTTTTGATTTTTATTGCCTTCAAACCGTCACTTCGACGCATAAATGTAACAAAACCAAAACCCTAAAGGAAGAATAGAAGTCTTAATGAACCAAACAGAGAATTACATCCGACATTAAGACTTCAGTCACGGTGAACATAGCAATCCGGAACCCCCAGATTTATTCTAAATCAAAAGACTTTTATTTAGTTTACTTTTGAACCACGATCATTAGCAACAATTTCTGGATCTCGAACTGAACCAAATACCTAAAAATAAGAAATAAAATAATAATGAACGGTACAGGGACTTAATCTTTTACAACTGACTTGAAACTGATGTCTCAAATCTTCGATCGTCCAAGCAAACGGTATATTACCAACGTGAATTCGTAATGGTTCATCATTTTCGTCCAACTGCACCATATCGAACTGTAGAAATAAAAATCAACAAACTAAATTGAACAGCGATATTTTCTTTGCAAAAGGTATATGATCAAATTATATAGCTTGATTTAATGGATATTAATAGTCGTGTCTTCAAAAATTATCAAAATACAATTTACGCAAAACTGTACTGACGCTATCTTTAATAGCATTTAACAACTAAGTTAATCTGAACTAATTAACGGCTTGTCCAGCTAACTCGAGACTTCGTTAATTAAGTTTTTGAAAAAATTATTTTAGAGTAGAACTGAAAGAAGCATATCACTAGATGCAGTTTTTAGTGCTGATTACGAATCTCACATTTTTTTCAAAAAGTTAAATTTTGGCACCAAAAATTCAGTTTTACATTTTTTGAAAACTGTATTTTCGGTTTACTCACCTAGACACTTTTCTAATAAAAATGGAAGGCCACACTAATCGATAGAGAATTCGATTCTCTACAAGACGGGATGTTTCTTTTGAAGTTTAAACTCAAAACAAGCTTTTCAATAAAGTTTTAAGATTCTCACACAATTCTAAGTGAAAACATTTTTTCAGCTTTATTTTCACGTCAGTCTATATTAGATGTCTAAAACTAAGTCCGATGTGAAAAATGAAATCCTCTGAGCAATGTTTAGTACTCAAAACTTTGTTGGGAAAAAGTGTGTCACAGCGTCACGAAAAATGTCACAGGGTCACGACGATAAAACACAATTAGTGAGGGATGGAAAGCTCATTGGAAAGATTCTTTTTTAGGAAAAAGTAGCTCGTTTACTTCTCTACAAACGTTGCTTTTTCGTTGCGTTTACTTCTCTACAAAAGGCGCTTTTTATTAGCTCTTCTAAATTCGTAGCAAATTAGCTTTTAATGAGAAGAACTTCGAATTTAGGGCCTTTTTTTATCACAGCGTCACAAACGATTCTAAAAATTCGAGTCATTAACCACATACCTTCATTTTTATACCGAAAGTTGAGTATGGCGAGCTGCGTCGAATGGCGCAAGAACGACGTTTCTAGCCCGTAAAATTTTTTGAGAAGAGCTCAAATTACTGTGTCAAAAATGTCAGAGCGTCACGCTTGGACAAGGCGTTAAGCAGAAAAGTGCCAGTTTTTTCAGCCTACTACGTTAACTATTTTCTGGAAGTTTTTAAGTAAGTAAGCACATTCAAATCGTTGCAGTATATAACAAAAATAATACGCAAGTTTCAAGCGAATTATATTTAAAAATTCGACTAAGCGAGCATCTAGGAGAACTACTAAGATTAAAATGTCAGCTTTCCCTCAGACAAAGCAAAAGTAAGGTCGGCCAGAAAAAAATATGCATTCTGTTTATATGTCCAGCTATAACAATCTAGCACCTGTAAAAAATAAATAATCTTTAAAACGAGAATGAAACAAACCTGCTCTAAGAGTGTCATTAACAATTGAATATCGTTCAAAATTAAATTATTACTGCAAAATTTTATCTTCCGACTTATGTGATACTGTGTTTATGTTGTCCTTACATAACCAAAATGCGAATGAAACAACTGACTGTCACACTGTTTTTATCGAAAAAGCATACACGTGCACATCATCATTGTTCATCAGTGCACATGTTTCGTTATTATTTTCTTTGAAGAAACGACATACTTTGTGCATGAATTATCAGACAACAAATGGACGGGAAATGTCTTACAATTCAGTCCATATCTCTCGTTATGTCTCATTATATCCTATCATCCAGATATTTGAATTTTTTCATTCGAAAAATTCGACTTTGTGCAACATGAGAATGTAGAGTCACATGGAGTAATTCTGATAATCGTTTAAAACTTTTCGGATATTTTAGGCACATTTTGGCCATTTTTAACCGGAGAAAACCAGTATTATGCAGGCTGATAGAGCTGACTCTTAGCTATCTATGGCTGTAAAAATTTTCCTAAAATCCATTAACATTAATTAGTTCTAATCAATTTCCAGTACATATGTTTCGAATTATCATAATTCCCCCATTTGGGGTAATTGTGGTAAGTGACCGTATAGCATTGGAGTGATTATGATAACTACAGCCAAAATAGCTGGAATGAACTTAAAATATTTAGTTTCAAGGGAAAACTTGGAGTAAACTTACTAAAAATTATATCATCCTGTAGAGTATTTTCTGCTCTACCTCTCATGTGAATTGTCAGTCATTTGGACTTAATCTAAATAAGTTATAAGTTAATTAGAAATTACGAAAAATAAAAGACCGTTATTTTTTTCATTTTTGTTCTTTTGGGTAATAATTGTGATAACACAGTTATTTTTCATGCGGTAATTATGATAATTCCGTGTAAATCACATGGATAGATAGAAAAAAATCTTCACCGTCTCTCAGAGGCTATACTAAACGACAAACTTGTTCAGAATCCTATAATCTACCATATATGGGGGGAAAAAAGAGTGTTTTCAACGAGTAATGAGCATATAACAGAGATAGAATATTTTAAGCGCATTTTTGTGCATTAAAATTAGTAGAATCATTAAGCTACAGTCTAAATTAGCAATTAGATCATCGACAATTGAAACTTTTCATCTACATTATAGAATCCTCTTTCTATTGACACACAAAAAAGAATCTAAAAAACATCATATCTAATGTTAATATTTTACTAAGGAGAGAATTGGTCGTATGTGCAATGACTCAAGTTTAAGTTAACATAAAATCTCAAACATCCATCAAAGGATATGTCCTGAGATTTTATGTTAACTTAAACTTGAGTCATTGCAC